GTCTTATTAAAGCCTTTTTTGGTTTTGTTTTATTGAACTGAAAACTATAGAAACAACCTTACTCCACAAACCTTAACCTTTAAATTCTCTGTTGGCTCTTTCAAAGTGTGACAAATATTCTGGATTAATTGTTTGTGAGATGTGCAAATAAAAACGGAGGCCCGGGCGTGTCATAACCCAAACTTTTCCTAAAACAGCAAAGTCTATGAACCCTGTCCGTCAACAGCCCCGGCATCCGTGTGGTTCGAACACAGGAGATGGATGAGAGGACGTGGTTTAAGAGAATCTCAAATGTGAGGTGAGGGAGAGGGGGGGAGAGAGGAGGAGGAAGAAGAAGAGGAGGAGGAGGAGGAGGGCTGGTATCCTGTCCGCCGTGCACAGACAGCAGGCGTCGCTCCACTGGCCATGACGGAGGAGAAGAGAGGCTGCGAGAAAGCCAAGAGCTGTCAACAGGCAAGTCAGGGTGAGACGGACGGATGGACAGGAGGAGAGAGAGAGAAAAAGAGATGGAGAAAAAGAGAGAGAGTCGACGTAAGGAAAACCAAAGAGTGAGGAGAGGGTTTGGGGGTTGAGAAGGTGGAGGGTGAAGATGGACAGACGGTGGAAGACGTGTTGATTGACAGATGAACAGGAGGATGAACTAAAGGACAGGAGGAAGACGAGTGGTTTGGTGTTTAGATGAGGCCTTTTGTGTAAACTAGGGATGGGCATTCGATGAAATTTTCTTAATCGATCGTCGTAAGAATTAACGATCGATTATCGATTCATCATTAACGTTTTTATATTAAAATGATCATCATTATTATTACTATCTGCACTAATCTGCATAAATAAATTCAACTTTACGACATATAAACATAACGACTCTAGAGCCACATCAGCTGTTTGACATTATAATGTGTTTAATTCAGTTTTGCGCAAATCTCACAGAAACGAAACTTAAAACCGCTAATTTGCATAAACTAAGTGAAGATAAAACTCCAGCTCTTGTGTCGCTGATGTGGTTCAATTTCTGTCGGATTAAAAGACATGACTCAGGTGAATACAGGTCAGTGTGACCAGATTTGCGTTTGTCAAAACCAGGACAGCGTACGGGGGGAGGGGGGCGGGGCCTCGTCATCCACATTGCGCGACTTTCACCTGGTAAAGTTGTTTCCCACTGGACACAGAAACATATGTGCTGCTTTATCCACTGTGCACATGGACTCACACTTGTCCCAACGCAACGGAAAGTGTGGAATTTCTTGTACAAATCATCGTTAAATCCACATTTGTGCTTCGGTTCCACTGTTTGTGTCTCGCTCCTTCTGATGCAGAGACACATGTACACACCTGTTTGGTCACGATACACACAGAAACATACATTCGGTTTGTCGATTAAAATTAACATAATCTATGAAATTCTTAATGATCAATTATCGATTAATCATGCCCATCCCTAGTGTAAACAGAGGAGAGATATTAAACTGTAAAATGTTAAAAGGTTAATCACGGGGACCGACAGTGATCTACTGTTTCTGTTAACATGCAGATGAACTCAAAAACTCTCACAGCGAGAAGGTTTTCAGTTCCAAACTTGTGTTGTCGTCTCTGCACCACAAACAGTGAAGCTGCGTTGGTTTTTACTGTAGATGTTTATGCTCATCAGCTCCCTCTGCGTTCAGATCTGAAGAAGCATCCTCATGCACTTAAAGGGCTATATAGTTCGGGTTTTTTGACATGAATCTGTATGGCATCCCCGTCAGCAGTGTCGTGACTTACCCCCCCACAGTGTCCGGTGAGCCGAGATCCTGGCCGGTTTCGGTGCTGACGAAAGTAGTCCGGCAAGTGGGCTGGGGACACGAAAATAACGCGTTTTTCTTCTCAAAACAACATGTGTTCAAAAGAGTGATGTATTTGCATCACAAAACCTTTGTCCTCAAAAAAGTCTGACCTCATAATCGCTTCGCACTATTTTCTTCTCCATTGATATCAATGCGCATGGCCGTCGTATCCCCAGTCAACTTTCCCGGGCTACTTTCGTACCTGAACTATCCCCTTAAAGCAAAAATATGTAACTTTCTTTCTGGTTGCATCAGTGTTTCCCGCAGCACTTTATAGTTACGGTGACCGCTTTGACAACAAGTGCCCCCCGCCTTGACTACGTCCTTCCAAACCACGTAAATCCTCGAAAAACTACGATCGTCGCGCGGAATCTTCCCACCTTCCAATTTTTTCCCACTGTCAGATTTCCTCTTTGGCCGAAGAATTTTCTGATCAAGCTTTGCCCAAGCATCTAATGATACAAGGGAGCTAGAGGTGTAACGGTACAAAAATCATGGTTCAGTACGTGCCTCGGTTTTGAGGTCACGGTTTGGTTCAGTTTGGGAACAAAATGCTAAACCATTTGCTTGTTGTTTATTCATGTTTTTGTGAAACCAACAATTTGTTTTAACATTATACAAATGGAAAAATAAAGTAAATGCAAACTGCTGCTTGGTAAAACTAATAAGTTAAATAAAATATTCTCAAAGAAGCAACGGAAATATGAATTATATTTTATTTATTATTAAAAAAAAATTTTTTTAAAATCCTTGTAAACAGTAAACAAAACTTTTCAAAAAAGTAAAGTGCAGCACTAACAGTTCCAGCACAAATTTTTATTCAATCTTCAGATTTTTGGCGAGAAAAAAAGAACTTGTCCACACTGTCTGCAGTTGCTGCAGTTACAACGTCCCCAGCGGCTTAAAATACACTTTCTCTCAGGACAGAGGTTGCAGGTTAGGGTAGAGGAGGTTGCGGAGATTTTGTGCTGGTGAAACACAAAAGTGAGGACCAGGGTGTGACGACAGTAGTTTTGCTAGAATTCACGTGGTTTGAAGGGACAAAGTCAAGTCAGGGGGCAGTTGTTGTGAAGGTGTTGCTCTGACTATGAAGATCTGTAGGAAACTCTGCCCCAATCACGGACGAGTTCCCTTGTGAATATTAAAGAGCCAAGTCTCCTGTATCTGCACATGTAGTGGAGGAATGTAAACACACTCATGCACTGCCCTGCACTGAAAACCCTTGTGCTGAAACGGTTCAGCACAAATGAACCGCAAACAGCAAACATGAACCGTTACATCCCTAATGAGAGCGCAAAGTATAATAGGCTATCACATTAATATGATTCATAGAAAAGTGCCGCTACTCCGACAATGAAAAAAAAAAAAAGTCGAAGTAGTGGGACACTTAAAAAATAATGTTTACGCCTCTACTCCGACAATTAGACGTCAATGTTTAAATAGCGGCATGTCGGAATAGCAGCGTGTGACCCAGATAAAGCATTTTCTAAAACAAAAAATCAGTGTTGTAACTGGACTTTGTTGATCAAAATAAACTCTGTACAAGATGTAATAACTCTCCATACACGCAGAAACAGTCTGTAATCAGTAATTCCTTTTGTGCCAACAGTATTTGGACTTACATGTGACAGAGAAATCCTGAGACGCTCTTCACTTTTGTGCGGCATCCAACCAAATCCGCGCCACACCTCGCTCGTTTCGCGGGCTATAAACAGACCGTATAGGTGCGTTTTTGGCAGGGCCTGAACGGGAGCGCGGAGTCTGCGGCGGCCGTGATAGCTGCGCCTCTGTTCTCATCCGTACATGATCCATACGTGATCCATACGTGTGCGCGGCGCCGGAGAGGCCCACACCCCGCTGCCTTTCACCTGCCGACGAGAGGGGGCAGAGGAGACGGATCCTGGCAGCCGACGAATCCTTTTGGCGGCGTTTTCCGAACCTGCCGATCCCCCACTCGCGCACAAACACACAGACAAACACACGCAAACACAAACACACACATACTCTTACCTCCCTCCTCTGAATCCTTCATCCAAAAAGAATCTCTGTGCAGTAAAGCCAAAGAGTCCCTGAATTCGAGCACAATGGGATTCCTGTTTCACACACAGCTGTTTCACGCCGAGGATGAGAGTGTAGAGAAAGTACCATTGTGTTCTGGGAGACAATGGCTGAAAATCTGTTGAGGCAGAGACTACTGAGTATTCAAACTAAAAAGCTGAAACGGCGAAGGGGTAGAAATGTAAAGAAACAGGACTAATGCTTCGAATTAAAGGCGCACGGTGACTTCTCTCGTGTGGGAACCTGCCGCTTCCATCGAGATACTGATTTGTAAAAGCTTGAAAAAACCTTCTCCATATCTAAAATTATTAATTATAATTTTTGCTGAAATTATATGACGTCATTTCCGCTCGGCTGGCAGCAGCGGTTTAGCAAAACTCCACAAAACTAGTGAAGACAAATGATCTGAGGTTGTGGAAAAGTCTGTATCAGTCTTTAGTAAGTTGCTTTTGATTCATATTTTATGTAATAATACAGACTTTTCGTTTCTCTTCACTAGTTTTGTGGAGTTTGGCTAAAGCCGCTGCCATCACCAGAGTGAAAATGGTGAAAATAGAAATATACTCGCACAAATGAATTGTCACAGCCCAAAACTAATTCACAAACTAATTCAAACATTTTGTATAATTTTCTGTCTGTTTTGAGGCTGTTGGGGCTGGATGACGTCATCGGTCCAAAATACAACTGCTAATATTTTAAGAACTGTAATCGAACAAACACATTTTTTTGCAGCACAAAAGAAGCACAAGCGATTGACTTAGTTTTATGTGTAGGTTTGCGTTTGATGGGGGGCCAACTTCACTTAGGTCCACAGATCTGACCTGTAACTTGGTGTGGAGGTGTCACTTGCTCGTTTCTTTAAAGTCACAGTTTGCTATTTGTTTTCCTCCTCATTTTGTTTGTGTTGATTGCACTGAGTGAGCGCTTGCATCTCCACAAACCTAAGTCTTCTTTGTCTTGGTGTATATAAACAGTATCATGCTGAAATATTTAATACAGCAGTAACATTCCCATGGAGACGAACTGATGGTGTAACCCACAGAATAAACTTTTTACATTTAAGGTCTAGTGATGAGGACTTCGTTGGCGCTGGTTCTCAGTCAGGTTCTGTGTGTGCAGGTCTGACGGGGCATGCAGAGGTGGTCCGTGTGGTCTTCTCTCCCAAAGACATCAGCCTGGAGACTTTGCTCAAGCACTTCTGGGAGCAGCACGATCCAACCCAAGGTAAGAGACCACACACTGTCAGCAGAGTTTGCAAATCACCCTCACTCACTCACAGGTAGAGTGTAATGTCCATTGATCTGAAGGTTGGCGGTTTAAGTCCTGCTCTCGACATAAACACACATAATTATTTGAAGTGATCAGATCCACTGGCCCACAGGTCGCTGGTGTGCTGGAGATTTAAAGGGACAATCCGGAAATTTTGGACATAGGACCTCATTTCCTCGAGTGTTGGAGACGTGTGGAGACACTTTTTAAAAACATTCCATTCAGTCCTTGTATTTGCAGAGGGTCGCTGGTGAGGCGGCGCTACCATTAGGCAAAAGTAACCCCCCCAAACTTGGAGGGGCCCTCAACCAAGTGCCCTCAGTGCCGCTAATGGCCGAGGCCTCAGAGCAGTTTGATTTTCTCTCAATATGACATTAAATCAGATTAGTAACAGAAATGTAATTGTACAAGCAAAAAACTAAAACTACTTTCAGTTCTGGTTATCTAGTAGGCGACTGAACTAATGCGACAAGTTTCCAATCCACCATAATTCAAATACAGTATTTTCCGAGCTTTTAAGCCTCCAACTCCATCAAAAAACGACTGTGCACCCCGCAGTCCAGAGCACGAATCCACTCGGGTGTCCCAGTACGACTTCAGTAAACTACGAAGCTGCAAACACACACGGAGCAGACAGCGACCGCACAGCGAAACACACCCACAGACACACTCATCACTCCACGCCGACGAGGAACGGAACGGAGGAACGAACCGAAAAAGCGAGCCGCTTCTAGACACGACTGAACAACTGAGTCACTGCGAACACGCCGACAATCCGTTGGTCCCAGACACACCCTCCCTACACGCCACAACTGAACAAAGCCCAGAGTCACCGTGAACGAACAGAACAAACAAAACCACTCACCCATCACACTGTTGGGTTTCCTTTAAAGTCCCACGCGGTTTATTTGTAAAAAAAAAAAAAAAAGTTCAAAAATAGACCATTTAATGACAGTGTGCCTTATAATCCAGAGCTGCTAATAGCCCGGAAAATACGGTAGTCCCTCAACATGCGATGATTCATGGGACGCAAGGTTAGTTTCATTTCAAACATTATTCTATCGACTGGACTGGACTGGAGTGTAAGGACTGGATGGAATATTTTAAAAAGTGTCTCCACATATCTCCAACATTCTGGCAAACTAGGAAATAAGGCCCTATGTCCAAAATTCCGGACTGTCCCTTTAAGGCTGACAGCCAGCTGATAAAACGGTTTATCTTTTGTACACATTACACAATGTCACTGTGTGTAGTTGATGTGGCATCGGTGAAAAAGTGTGACATTGCCTCACTGGGACGAGGGACGGCGTCTAAATGTCTGAACCAAAAGAGGGACAGGTGGTCACCCAAGTCCCAACCTGTCTCCCACCAACCAAACACGAGCACAGAGCACTAATCCTGGTAATCCTGACCAAGATCCTGGCTCCCAACTGCCCTTTCGAGGACGGGTCAAATGCACGGGGCAAATACTGCGTCTGCACGGGGACAAATGTGCCGACGAAAACCCACATCCGGAGCTCCTCATGCCCGGCACCAGGCCCCGGCGAGGAGCCCTCACATGGGGGTCCCTGGGGCAGACGGGCAGTGGAGCAGAAGTAGGGAGCCCAGACGTGTGTGTGTGTGTGTGTGTGTGTGTGTGTGTGTGTGTGTGCGTGTGTGTGTGTGTGTGTGTGTGTGTGTGTGTGTGTGTGTGTGTGTGGAGGGGTGGGGGTCTCGTGGGTCTGAATCTACGCCAGACTCTGTTAATGTGTCTGAGGTGCAGCCATCCGTGGTGCACACAACCAACACAGTCTTTTTTTTTTTAGAACAGGCATCAGAAGCAGGTAGTGCTCCGTTACATTTACCTGAGGAACTTTTAAAGACATTGTTCTTTTCTTTTACTCCCACTTGAGTGATGTTGTTATTGAAGTAACAGTACGAGTGACAAGTGTCGGCAATCTGAAATAATTTGCGTTTCTTGCACCACTCTGTCCTTTGAAAACAACAGATTTTGTGTTTTATTTAATGTTTTGTCCTTGTAATTACTTTCACTTCGAGTTATAAACCCGATGTTACTCTTTACATTTCTCTTTACGTGTCTCACTTGAGTTGTACTTTTCCCAAATATGTTTTTATGTTTTATTTGAGTAATTTCTTGGGCCACTACTTTGCACTTCTAATTGAGTAATATTATTAATTTTACTTTAACTCAAACTCAACTTTTGGCTTCTCTACCCACTTCTGCATCAAAACTATTCCTGATCTGGAAAAAAACGGATAATGTTTAGACTGAACCAGGACTAAACCAGGACTGAGCGAGGACTAAACTGGTCTCAGTCCTGCTCTGGTCCCGGTCCGGTCCTGGTCTCAGTCCCAGTCTGGTCCCGGTCTCAGTCCTGGGCTGGTCCAGGTCTGGTCCTGGTCAAAGTCCCGGTCTCAGTCCCAGTCTGAATCACGGTCTGATCCTGGTCTCGGTCCAGGTCTGGTCTTGGTCGGTTCCTGGTCCTGGTCTCAGTCCCGGTCTCAAACACGGCCTGGGCCTGGTCTCGGTTCTGGTCTGGTCCCGGTCTGGTCCTGGTCTCAGCTCGGGTCTGGTCCTGGTCTTGTCCTGGTCCTGGTCTAAGTCCCCGTCTCAATCACGGTCTGGTCCTGGTCTGGGTCCAGGTCTGGTCCTGGTCGGTTCCTGGTCTAAGTCCTGTCTCAATCACGGTCTGGTCCTGGTCTGGGTCCAGGTCTGGTCCTGGTCGGTTCCTGGTCTAAGTCCTGGTCTCATTCCCGCTCTCAATCACGGTCTGGGCCTGGTCTCGGTTCTTTTCTGGTCCTGGTCTCAACCCGGGTCTGGTCCTGGTCTTGTCCTGGTCTAGTCCTGGTCTCAGTTCTGGTCTCAGTCCAGGTCTGGTCCCAGTCTGGTCCTGATCACCTGAGCGGGCGCACCTCTGGGCCCGTCCAAACACTCAGTCCAGTTTTAGTCCTGGTTCAGTCCTGGTTCAGTCCAGTTTTAGTCCTGGTTCAGTCCTGGTTCAGTCCGGCATCGCAGTCGTTATCCGTTTTTTCCATTTTTCATTTCAACACAAAATCAAATCATTATCCATTTTTTCATTTTTGATTTTGGAGACAAATAATGAAGAAAATAGTTTTTGTTTTTGTTTTCTTATTTTTGGTTTTATTTTGAACACAGATTGTTCACTTACACTAAATTGACTCTTGTGCAGTTTAAACCAAGTTAGAATGTCGTTACATCCTCCAAAACAAACCTGGAGTTGGAGTTTTGTTTCATTCACACTTTCGTCTAAACCTCCAAAATCTCAAAATGCTCAGTTCCACCTTGCGACGTCACGTGGCTGTAGTTTTCGAGTTAATTATCCGAGTTGAAACGATCTAGTGAAGGTGTCCGGAGCACTTCCTGTATTACCCCCTTACGTCCCAAGTTTCCTCAGCAGAACCTTAAACTCCAGTCGTCCTCGAGGGTCCGGCCGAGTAACACTTCGAGGAGGAGGAGGAGGAGGAGGAGGAGGAGGGTGCACCGGAGAACAGGTATCAAAGATTCATGGGCGTAGTTGGCACACGGGTGAATACGCAGACGTCCAGTAACACAATAATGACTCGCAATTACTGCTCGCATCTATTATGGATTTGACTAATGGCCTTGTTTAAAACACGTGGGTTCATATTTGATTAAACGCACACCGGTTCATTTAGTGGAGCGTTCGGACTTGGCACTTGGAGGTAGTTTGGATGATGATGAGGAGGAGGAGGAGGACGAAGGAGGAAGAGTTGTGGGTAAATAGTTCAATTATTGTGAAACCAAAGATGTTCATTTTGTCGTTTTATGAACTTTAACTTCTTGGGTTCATTTTAAAGACAATGCAGTAAAGTGTAAAGGTGAATGAGCGATAGTTTTGGACCAAAAACCAGGACTAAACCAGGACTGAACCAGGACTGAGCCAGGACTGAGCCAGGATTGAACCAGGACTAAAACCAGGACTAAACCAGGACTAGCAGGACTGAGCCAGGATTGAACCAGGACTAAAACCAGGACTAAACCTGGACTAAAACAGGACTAAACGCAGATTAAACCAGGTCTAAAACAGGACTAAACCTGGACTAAAACAGGACTAAACCAGGACTGAGCCAGAACTGAACCAGGACTGAGCCAGGACTAAACCAGGACTGAGTCAGGACTAAACAGGACTAAACCAGGACTGAGTCAGGACTAAACCAGGATTAAAACAGGACTAAAACAGGACTAAAGCAGGACTGAACCAGGACTAAACCAGGACTGAACCAGAACTGAACCAGGACTGAGCCAGGACTAAACCAGGACTAAACCAGGACTAAACCAGGACTAAAGCAGGACTGAACCAGGATTAACCAGGACTGAGCCAGGACTACAACAGGACTAAACCAGGACTAAACCCGGATTAAACCAGAACTAAAACAGCACTAAACAGGACTGAACCAGGACTGAGTCAGGACTGAGTCAAGACTAAAACAGGACTAAAACAGGACTAAACCAGGGTTAAAACCAGGATTAAACCAGGACTGAACCAGGACTGAGCCAGGACTAAAACAAGACTAAAACAGGACTAAACCAGGACTAAACCAGGACTGAGCCAGGACTGAACCGGTCTCAGTCCTGCTCTGGTCCCGGTCTGGTCCTGGTTTCGGTCCTGGTCTGGTCCCAAAAATCACAATCTCAGTGTAGAAAAAGTGGAGAGTTTGCGCTGGCGCTTGTTTTACAATAAAATAAATAAAATGTATATTTTTATATTCTGAGAGAAATGGTGGGGATTTGTATAATTGGATGTTTATGTTTTTATTGATACGTGTGTGTTACATGTGAATATTTATTTTAGGGTATGAATTATGTCTCATGGTAAAAGGGGCTGGACTGATTGGTCTCCTGAGTGTTTGGTCGTGGCTGTTGACCCTTTTAAAAGTGGGACCAGTTTCATAGTCCTGATGATGATGATGTT